TAGTCAAGGTGAAGGACTGCGAACAGTTGCAGCTATTGTGGCCACCCGTCCACAACCTCAGGGCCAATGGGAATTTGGAATCAAAATCATACCCCCACATGTTAAGGATTGGTACAAGCGTTGTAGGCCAAAACATATACATCGGGAAGCTGCTATTCATGAGCGTCACCTGCAAGCCAAGTACCAAGCTGTTTGGAGAGGCATCAATGAGTTGGGGTTGAGCTATGTGTTCCGAAACACTAGAGATATGAATGTCAATCTTGTGAGGGAATTTTATGCTGGGTTTGATCCAGAGAATCCTGAACAGCTGGTGCCGATTCGTGGAAGGTTTATAGTTTTTCAGCCTCGGAATATGCAATTTCTTAGGTGCTCCGGATGTTCCTGGGGAACCCTTGGACCACTTCATAGTCCGTCCTACATATCGAGAGCTGAGACTCTTTGTGGTGTCAATTCTGTGGCGGCTTGGGTGCGGGATAAGAAAACCAATCGCCATAGGAAATTCCCAAAGAAGAATATGAAGGTAGAAGCGCAAGTATGGTTGAAATTGATTAATACACGGCTCCTACTGTGCAGCCATGACACTCTCATTAGCCGTGAGAGGACTTGTGTGTTATATTTCTTAATATGGGCCAAAGGGTGAATGTGGGCCACTTGATCCGTTACTAGATGACCCAAGTGAAAACTAGCAAGAAAATTGACCGAATGCCCTTTGCAAACATGCTGACTCAGTACTTGCGGCAAGAAGCGGTGGAGGAGGAGAAAGAGTTCGATCACATCATTGCTCCACCCCTAAGACCAACAGACCTCACAAATGTCCGGTTTAAGGAGGAGAATACCACAACTTCACTGACAGGGGCTGAGCGCAATGCACACGATGACAACTTTATGGCCCATTTATATGGGATGATGGACTTGCAGTTTCGGATAGGGGGACGGCCGGCCACTACATAGGAGAGAGCCATATTAGAGCAATGATTCCCGCTCAATGCTCATGCTCAGCAGCTGGTTGGGACAGGTGATGGATACAGACTTCCAGAGGATGAGGATATCAACATACCCGAGCAATCCGAGGCCGAGCCGGAGCAGTCAGATGATGATGAAGAGGAGGAAGCACAAGACGAGGAGTGGGTAGCCTCAGAGGAGGAAGGTGATGACGCAGTTTGATCAGGGAGTTTTTCATCCACCTTACTCATTGTTTTTCTTGTTTTGTCAATTTGTTTATGCACTCAGGACATTGCATGAAATAAGTGTGGGGTGGTAAATTGTAAATATTAGTCTTGTTTTAGTTATTCTATTTTTTAGTTAGTGTCGTTTTAGCCTTTTAGAAAGAAAAAAAATAGAAAAATTGGACTCTTCCCGACGATGGATCTCCTAGATAGTTATTTGAGGGAATTAAGTCTAAAGAAAACACCAAAAGATTTTCTTGTAGGTAGTGTAGTAATTCCCCCTTGGTTTTTCTTTGGGCCGCGGTTCTTTTCCAAGGGTTTTATTTGAACCGGGTTGTAGTTAGTTTAATTTTAGGTAGTAGTAAACCACTGGGCTATGAATTGAATTGCAGCGATATCTCTTGACTTTGTTATGCCTTGAGAAT